GTTACCAGCTTTAATTTTATTCGAAACATCTTTTCTTTCATTAGTTTTTCAAACAAATTTTTTATTTTTTTATTTTGTTAATATCACATCATTTTTCACACAATACATCGTAAAATATCGAGCTCACGTACGACAGAATATCTTGATAGTACGTGCTCAATGCCACTGACATGAAGCATGGGAATGGCTATGTCAACGAGGAAAATCAATAATATTACAATAGAATGATGAAGGCATTGACTGGGTAAAAAAGCGTGTGTAGTTATTTTTAAAAATTAACGCGCGTACTAGTAGGTGACGTAAAATCATACGTCAGACGCATATCTTGTTATCTGCAAATGGAAGATACTGAGAGTTGAAAAAAAAGCAAAAAATAATTGATAAAAGATAACAAAGGAGCACGCTTTATTGGACGCCAGTGTCCATCGAATAAACCATTTTATAATTTTATTATGTGAGTTTCCTTGGATGTGATAGAATATTGTATTTAAAAATGCAAATAGAGTTTATTATTTTGCGGGACTCAACCGTAGAATAATTTACAAGTAATTGTCATAAAATAAAATAAATGCAGGCTAAAACAGATTTTTCGAACGAGCTTTAATTTATCAAATGTACGATCTTGCCAATAACAGCGAAGAAAGGCCAAACTTGAGTATAATTACTCCGATGAAAGTTGCTATGGTAAAATTTTGTCGGATCTTATACGAAATTACTACAAAATTATTAAAAACAAAATGTAACTACTTAAAATCCTTGATTATTTATTAACCAGTGCGATAATTAACATAGGTGGAATTCTCATACAATATATGCTCTTTTGAATGAGCTTATCAAGAGTGTACAGGATTTTAGGCAATGTAAAGACGATGCACGAAGCACACACCATAATATATAAACCTGTGTACACAAGCTAGCGGATTTCGATACACCTAACGTTTATCATACTCTTTTGATAGTCCCCCAAAATTTCAATTTGATTGATCGTTTCCGATAAACCCTACATCTTTATTCGTTTGTGAGGGAGCACGTTAAAAAAAACATGATTGACAATGAAAAACTCACATCGTTCGAGGTACATAGTAATAAATAAAAATAGGGCACACCTATACAGTATTAATAATTATAATTTTATAACTTTTGTAAAATTAAATGTTCACTCTACTAGTAATTTTGAATATTTCTTGAAATTAGAGTTTTGATAGCCACAATTATTTATTTCATTGATATTATTATAATTTTTTTATAAAAATCATTTAAGAGAAGTCGTTTATGAAATATATTTTTCATATCTAACGTTTTAATATCTTTGTCAATTAAACTCAAGGTATGTCCCGTTTCATTACAATGATTGAACACAGCCTTATGTATTGTTCTTTACATTTAGTTTTAGTTAATCTACTACTTTAGCCTACATGTATAACACTTGCTTATTACAATTATTACATTGTAATATGTACATATTTCCGACTCTTCAAATTCAACGAATCTACTAACGAAAGGTAGCAAAGGCATATTTATTTAAAAAATGCGTTCGTGGAATGTGTACCTATAACGGAACTAATAACTATAGTTGAATATCAACTACACGTTTGTGTATGGATTAATTTAAATTAATAACATGTTGAATTTTATTAATTCACACAAAAGTTCAATTTATAGTCAAGTACAGAAAAAAAATTAATTTTTTCTTTCTGATACTACACGCAACCTCAATTTTTGTGGTGGTTTACACTATAAAATTAATTAAATTGATTATTATTTACTATTATCAAAACCATCATTTTTGATTCTTTGAACAAAAAAATAATGGCATTTCAATAATACCCATAAATATATAAATACATTAATACATAAAAGTCTTGTCTGGTAGGCATCATATACAAAAAAAATACAAATTATGAAAAATAAGTCCACCTAGAAGTAGTTGATAAAATTACGTATAATGAGTCCTGACAGATTTATTAATATTATTACTGAGTGATTACTTACAGATTGATTTCCCGGACGGAAAATTATTTATTAGTATCCAAAGCTCAAGGCTTAGGATGTTTCAAGTTGTTCTAGTTGTGATCAGATAAAAATTTTATTTTTCAGTTTAATAAGTAGATTAAATTTTTTTTTATTGAAATAATAACTTATTGTTCTGTTTTTCAGTCTCTGATGAGGATTTTCATTATTACCTATTATTATTATTTTGATGACTTTAACATATTGTAACAGTCAAATCGATTATTTAATATCAATATTAAGAAAGTTTTGAAAGTATGAATAATATTTCCTTAATATTAGATACTTGATACCTACGTCAAGGGGACTTTGAAGATAAAGCTTGTTCACCATCTCATGGTGTCCGCTGTACTAAAGTTTGTATGTCACCCAGATTATCGTATTATAGTTTCACTAATGTCTCTCATTTGATAAAAATGCCAAGAAAAGCTTTAAATGTATGGTTAATCTATTACCTAATGGTTCAGGTCATGTCTCGCTCTTTATTGTATTTTACCTTTAACTCACTTATATTTGGTACCAATATTGAGAGGGTTGTACAGAAATGTGACTCATCTTTTTATATTGTCCTTTACACTGGATTTAGATTGTTATTATGGAGCTTGTTGTTTCTGATTTTTTTGATACCCATGTCAAAAGAATTCTTAAAAACGATAATCGGCACTTGAGTGGTGGCCGACAGATAGGCAGGCAGGCCGGGAGACATACAGACAAGTGAAAGAACCAAGATTTAAAAAGCTTGTAATAAATAATGCCATCCACGTCTTTGTATTTTTTTAATGAACATACATTTATTACGTTTCTAGAAATATTGTAATCAATAAAAGTTTACTAAAAGAAATGAGTTTTTAATTGTTTTGTTATTTGTTTTTCGTATTCAGTTGCAAGTCAATAATAATTGGGTCAATACTTGGAAAAAACATTCTTTAATGAAACCTGGTCTTATATCTTTTATAAGCATGCACCGAAATAGTAGTTAAAATGAGTTGATAGGTCAGACATACATTGAATAAATTAATTAACTGAAGCATTTAATAGTAAACCAAAAATCTACAAATCGTATCTCAGTACAAAAGGACGTATAACAGGAGTATGATAGGTATTAGAGTAATATTTGGAATTTATTTCCAACTTAAACTTATTTTAGGATGAAACTTTAAAAAAAAAAAAAAAAATTCAATTTATGAGTAAGATAAATAAAAAAAGCAAAAAAAAAAATTGAGCTATCTCGTTCTCGTTGTATTGTTTCAGATGCCCAATCTAACCCGGTTATTGAACGCGTCGGTGGTTACAGTAAACAATTTGGCGGACAAAGAGTACGACGAGGACGAGTACGTCCCGTACGCGGAGCGGCCCGAAACGTACATTGTACCAATATTGTTCTTCCTGATACTGGTGGTTGGCGTAGCCGGGAATGGAGTTCTCGTCCTCACACTGCTACGACACTCCAACATGAGGAGCATACCAAACACCTACATTCTATCCCTCGCCCTAGGAGATTTACTGGTGAGATAAAAATGCAATTTGACTCATGGATAGTACCGAGATTTTTAAGGTTTTTAGACGACATCCAAAACATCCGTACTGCTTGCTCTTTGCCAACTTGTGTCGAAAAAATGTAAGCTATAAAGATGTTGTAGATGTAGGTTTACGAACAGCTAAAACTGTTTTTTTTTTTTTTTTCTTTTTTTTTCGTACCAGCCTTTCTGGTCTTACTAAAGGAGCCAACCCCTTCTTTGAAAGTCAAATATTGACGTTTATTATTTCAGTTCCTTTCACGCGACGTTTTCAGTGTACGCACGCGTTACGAGCAAATATAAAACACTCGAACGGAAAAAAGTTCCCTTATCCGATAAAAAAAAACTTTCCTCTAAAGTCCCAGCAATTTCCCACCATCAGCCCAAATTGAATAAAGGAATTTTTCGCTGAAACGAGTTTGAAATAAGCAAATCTAATGGTGGGAAAAGCCACCGAAGCTGAAACAGACGAGCGCGCACCACCCTCTGGAGTATCTGTAAGTCCGTGGGGTTGTAATCCCCCACGACCGTATACGTACACATATAGAGCGCGAAGTAAAGGTGTTATGTGAACCACTGGGGACATGTAGAGAAGCGAAAGGGAAAATAGAAAGCTGGAGGGAATGGAGGACTGAGTCGCGGGAGGGTGGCTTTGTCGAGCACGTGTGGAAATTCGTGGGATGCGTGGCCTATTTTACTTTCTATTGACGTGAAAGCAAGGGCTGCAAAATGTACCTGTACACCTAGCAAGGACCACTCGAAAACTGAGATGATGCTCGTAAAAGTGCATCGGTCGTAATTTTTTGGGTTTAGGGAGATCCCACAGAAAAAAATAAAAAATGTCAAATTTTATATGCGCGTGTGAATTTTTCAATAATTATTTCCAGATGTATTTTTGAGAAAAGAAATCATTTAGTTTCACAATTTAACATACACTCTTATGGGTATCAGTAATTAAATTGTATTCAAACTACCATCCACGTAAATCCAAATTAAAAAAAAAAAAATTTCTTCTAGTTAAAAAAAGATTAATCAGAAGTAAGCTGTCTTCTAAAAAAGAATAAACGAATAAAAAAAAATTAAAAAATTCGCACAAAAATTCGTCAAACGGTTGCATGTAACAAAACTCAATTAGTGACCCCTATGAGAATAATTTTTTTTTTTTTTTAAATACGTCTGGAAAAAAATATTCATACGCACATATTGTATTCTAGAAAAAAATGTAATTTCTTTCAGTGTTACCTAACAATTATTACCAGGTGAAAATGTTGCCACGTATTGTTACTTTTGAAAACGATGATACCCGTATACTATATCTGTGTATTTCAGTTGTAATTTCGATTTAACCTCTTGTTCTGAAAAATGCCACAGGTGATAGTCACTTGCGTCCCCTTCACGTCTATCCTCTACACCATCGAGTCTTGGCCGTGGGGCCTCGCTGTCTGCAAGCTGTCTGAGTGGGCTAAGGACATATCCATAGGCGTTTCTGTCTTCACCCTCACTGCTCTGGCGGCCGAAAGGTGATCGATTTTTTTTTTATACGACTATGATTTACTGTTTCCTTATAAAATAATGGAGTTAAAAAATGTATCAGGCTACGTTTGAAACTCATTTTTTTAATGAAAGGTTGATATAGAGGAGTATTACTGTAACCATAAAATGAATACGTATTTATTGATAAGGTCCAGGGAGTTTGGGCGAATGTTGTAAAATATTATGCATTGTTCACGATAACAAAGAGCCACACTTTCATTTTATAACTTATTTGAATATTTATTTTCTATCCACAACTATGTGAATGTGATAAAATAAACTAATTGACAACTTAATTGAACTCTTCTACATTTTTTGTTAAACTATATATTTGTACATTGTAAGACCTAACGTTATTGAAAATTCCATGAGAAAATTGTAGGCAGACAAAGTAGAAAAGTAAAAGCCTTAGTAAAAGCTTGTCAATTAGGCAAAGGATATTTAATTAAAAAAGTATGGAAAAATGTCTTTGGGATGAAAATTTTCAAAGTGGAACATTGAAAGAGAAGAAATGGAAAAGAAAATAGAAAAAAAACTCGCTGGAAGCTTACGTGTCCAGTTCATTCGATTAAACCCTTGCTTTGAATCATCACGTACGCACATAATCTAACTGGACAAATGTGGGTCATTTTATAGAAAACGGAATTTTTCATACCCGAGTTGAGATTCAGTTTTAAAAACTTTTGTTATTAATGAAGAGCATTTTTTTGCTTAAGTTAAAAATGAAATAACATTTTATAAATTTATTACCATAGTCTGAAATTAAAAAAGAAGCTTAATTGGTGTTACAGGCTTATGGCTCGTTTCAAAATTTGATTTTTGGCTGTAATTTTTTCCACGTCATATCATCTTAAAATCATCATACTGGGACATTACTCTCATATATTTTAGAGAACCAAAAATTTTTTTCCAAGTCTTGAATGCAGTTTAAGTTGTAGCCCCCTTCAAAATTATTCAAAATTAAAAGTCCCGCGAACAATGTTGCCACAAATACATGCAATTTTACTTATTTAGGTACTCCAATTTAAATGGTTCGTGTTCTACGAAGGTTATATTTATAGCAAAAATTCTTTCAATTTCTTCATTATGAAATAAAAAATGCCATAGGCTTGCACGTTCAGTGAAGTAATTTTCCCCAAAGTAAAAAATAAGAACCCTTAACGATTTAAATTTCAGTTTTAGCAAAAAAAAGAGGTATTAACTCAGATGATAAAGGGTTAATTTATACATATAGCTCGTTAGTACATGGTATAAGATACTTATTATACAATAATACTATAAAAAAATTATTTTTCGTGAATCCAGTGGAGCCCCTTACTTGTATGGGTCACAAGCAGTAGAAAAATTTTATTTAGAAAAATCAAAAAACCTTTTTAGTCATGGCTCACTTCAGCCTTCATAGTATGCTCCTTTTCGTAAAATGATCCATGCAAGGAGATACACTTACACTTGCATTTACACACAAATACACACACTCTCTCGCTTTTTGAAGTCTAATCTGGAATATTGCAGGTACTACGCAATCGTCAACCCGATTCGTCGGCACGTGGCTGGTCTTTCAACGAAGCCGCTGACTCTACTCACCGTGACCCTCATATGGTTGCTGGCAACAGGTCTCGCTATGCCGGCCGTCTTGTATTCCCACCTGCCAACAATGCCCCTCAAGAACAACGAGACAATATGCGTCTGCAGCCCATTCCCTAAGGAATTTGGTAATTCTTTTCTAATACAAGCCATCATTCTACATCGATTGCATGACTCGTCCCTCTGAATTGCGTCTTCATAGCTTCTTATTGACTGTTTTCCATTTCCTGCACTATCTGTCTACTCTGAGCTCCTTCTTACTCTTTTCTGCGGACAATTTTTTTTATTTTCTCGTGCTCGAGACCTTTTTTTCCCTTCGTTGGCTACCGATGTTTTCACAGCCACCTTTCTCTTCGTTTCTTTTTTTTTTTTTTTTCATTCAATCCACTGTTCGAACAAACGTGCTTTATTGGAAATACCTTCTGGAATACGCTAGAGATGCGACAACGAGGGAAGCTTGAACTTTAAAAGTGCTGCAAGGCACACTTTTCTGCTGCCAACCCCTTCGACATCTGATAGACTTGGACGGCATTTTCATATGCCACCACTGCGGTCGTCTACTTCTATTTTTTCTTCTTCTTGAGGGACATTGAAGTTTTTTACCGTAGCCTGATGTACTTTACTTTGCGTTTGCTAATACAATTTTGGTGTCAAGGGTACCATTTAATGGTTTCTTTAACATTTGTTTTGCAATTGTTGTGTTTTATTTTTTTTCAATTTATTTGGTTAGATTTAGGTTAGTAGCTGGCTGTTGTCTGCTTTATTTATTGAGCATCTGTTTCATTATCTAATAATAGAAAACTATCTAGTAATAGAAAACTATTTGTTTTTAAAAAATTTCTCTTTTTGTTGGTCTTAAAATTATATTGAAATACAGGTCGGACGCATAAATAATTAAAATGAGTATGTACATTATTGAAGTAAAAACATATTTTGTCAAAAAATATACACCTAGGTTTGCTGCAGTCATTCATTTACTATAAGTTTGGTAGACTTTTTATGACATAAAATTCATGCAAACAAGTAAAAAATAAAAACAATAATTGGGAAGCAGTGGTAGTTTTCATGGAAAAATTATTAAAATTTTATGGTGTTAAATTATACAAAACAAACATTACAAAAAAAAGTTACAATATGAATGCATATTTTACTTTACCAAGTTATGTTTTCTTGTAGAAGTATTTTAATCAGAAATCGAATGTTGGAATGAAATATTGCAAATGTAATTTCTCAATACTGCAAGCTCAACTCACATTTTTTTCCACAAAAAAAAAAAAAAAAAAAAAAAAAAGAAATCACGAATTTTTTATGTATATATAACTCACCAAATTTTCGCATAGTTTCAGAATCATTTTTTGTTATGCTCGCTCACATGCAAAAGTTTTTTAATGCATTATTTCAAAGTGTCTTCTTTATTTGAGATATACTTTTGATTGACCGTCAATTGTTATATGACAAAAGAAAATGCAGTGGTTGTGACCACCGAGGAATACTAATCGAAGTCTTTTAGAGAATGTACGTGGTATCTTTTGCTCTTTGAAGGAGTAGAAGTGTACGCAAGTCACGATTTTCTTTAATGCATTTATTTTCCAGGATTTCATGAAATCCAATATTGAAGTTATTGTATTACATAACTTTAAAAACATAAATTTAATAATATTTTTGAATATTGGATATGCCATATTTTTAAATAAATTTTATTGCCTTTCTACGAACATGACAATTATTTTATTTTTGGATGGTACTTTAAAATATATGGTTGTATTTATTTGCATATGTCGATACTGAAAGCAATGTAAAATTTCTCTGCACTTATCAAAGGAATTTCATTATTATTATTGTTATTATTATTATTTTTTTTATACAATCAGTTAATAAAAAATGTAGATTATATGCATGCTCCCGTGATATAATTAAGTGGTTAGAGTTTTAACGATTAAGTATTGCAACATCTTTATGACAAGCATGAGAACCGAGAGTTGTTTGTAGTTACACTAGTCGTGTGTGTAAGTACCAGCTTCAAGCTACATTGCACGAGAGTCTAGCAAATATCGGAATTTTAAGAAAATCATTCGCGTTTAAAAAAATGATTTAATTGAAACGAAAACTTATTTGAACCAAAAGAGAGAGTAAATGGTTACTTTGTTAAAAATCCAACGAAGTCCAACAGTGCTAGATTTTGTGCATGGTTGGCTTGGAGTAGGCGCGATATAATATTTTAAAAACTTTTGTTGTTGTAGATTATTACTAGGATTAAGTAAAAATAAATATACAATGTTACGACTTTTTTTTACCTTAAATTAAAATACCATAAAAATATATCGTGAAAATATCTGGAATCATGAGCTCTTCCAGTATTCATTACTTTTTTGACAACATTTCAAAGCTATCGCCATCACTACAAATGATCTCAAAGTAGTGTCACATATATTTATAGGCACGTATTATAAATACAAGTACTTGAAATGATTTTACAAAGTCACATTTTTTTGTTCATTTAACAATACTGTAATTAAAGAAGGTCAATCAAAAGCTCATCCTACAGCCATGATAGTAATAATAATAATAATNATAATAATAACAATGATGATGATAATAATAATGATAATAATAATTTTTCTGCAGGTTATTTTAGATTGATTTAACTGTAATAATGGTCCATTACTTTTTGCAGCTTTTTTTTTTTTTTTTAAAGTTGAGTTGACATTGTACGATATCTAATTTGGTGTCCTGTTTATAGGAAGAAGCTACGAAAAAGGTATGGTACTCTTCAAATTTCTCATGTACTATGCAATACCTCTGTGCATAATATCGGGATTCTACCTTGGAATGGCCCGTCATCTTGAACTGTCCACGAGGAACATGCCAGGCGAGCAGCAGGCAGCGCCTCATCAGTGCGAGCAGATAAAGGCACGAAAAAAGGTCCGTCTGCATGTGTACCCACTTCTCTGCTAAGGAATCCCAAGTATTTCGATCCTCTCAGAAATGTATCTTATTGCAACGCGGTAGATGTTACACAGGCGATCGTGCTTGGATTAACCAGCTTTTTTTACTCCGTGTATTATCACACGAGAAAGTATGTAATCTCGTGTAATGGTATACTCACGCTTTTTTTTTTTTTAATAAGAGTTTAGCGACTTAGAATAAAATCCACGTGGCTGTGAAAATTAAAATGAAGCATACAAAAATTCTATGAAATAGTATATTTAAGTACTATAATGTTTAATTTTCTCAAAAAAATTATCATACTCGTTTATCCTTTTATTCGACTTACTTTTGGCACTTGAAGTGTTTATGTCACGTTAGAAAGATTTGCCGACTACGTGGATGATGAACATTTTTATTATAATGTTGATGGATTAAAAGAAAAAAAAAAGAAAAAAAAAGATCATGTATGGATCCAATCAATACTAACTAGTGCAAAAAAAATTTGTTTTAGAATTCACTAGTTTATTTGAGAAAAAATGAAGATAAATATGTTATTATGATTAAAATTGCGGTCGTAATACAAGTTAAACATATGATGGATTTAAATATCTATTTTAATTAGAAATATGTCTAAGACCGTGACCTTTTTTTATATTATCATAATTATCATAATTTAAAATCTTAAATATTTTAATAACCTATTATAATTTTTCTTAAATTTAAATTTAACAAAGTAAAGTGTAACATTTATTTGGTATTTGTTAAAAACTAACGATGATGTTTTTCAAGATCTAACGTTTACTTTATTATTCATTGCAGGTCGGAAAAATGGTGATATGTTTTGTAATAATTTTCTTCATTTGCTTTCTCCCGTACCACGTGTTCATGCTGTGGTTCCATTTTTATCCGTTATCTAATGATAATTACAACGATTATTGGCACGCTTTTCGCATAGTTGGCTTCTGCTTGAGTTTCCTTAATAGTTGCGTCAATCCTATCGCACTCTACTTCGTCAGCGGTACATTTCGCAAGAGGTTTGTACACCATTATTTTTAAAAGCATTAATTTTACCCTCGTAGCATCATGTGCCTCATCCTGCCATTTGGTCATAAATTTAGCACCTCCAACAACAGTTTTTCACGGACACCATACCATACACGGATGACCATACAAACAAATGCTGTTGTAGCGTGCATGCTTTTTTTTTAATTCTCTTTTATTTGCATCTAAATATAAATGGTGTGTTGCAAGAGCTTGTTTATAAAAATCATAGAAAATTGTGGAAAATATACATTTTAATATTTTTTGGGAGAAAACTACTGATTTATCAGCCCGCGCGCGCACACATACACACAGACACATATACATTTGCTCCAAACTTTGTGCTCTTTTTATTTGTGTAAATGACACTATTCAGAAAGAATAGTACACTAGAAGTACATCTGTCGTGAATTGTGACGCAGGCGTATATACGTAACGTACATACTTCACGACTTATTTGTAGCAGCTCCATCTGGGTGAAAAATCTCAATGCATTTATAATAATAAAGTTTTGCCTCGAGATTCTAAATCGATGTGAGAAAGCGGTTTTGCATAGAGATTGGTAAATAACGTCAAAATCGATTTTATTTCTTACTTACTTGCTAGTATGCGAACTGGGAAGCTTATTTACATGACAGGGCCTTCTAGCGCGGACGCGATATTTTTGACATATTGTTATACCAAACGTGCGAGTTATGGATTATGCGCACCGTTGTATATGACTTTGAGTACCTTCCCATCGGAGCACTGAAGAAAAACTGCATTTCGATGAATAAATACTTCAATTTTAAACTGACCGTGTAGTCACGTTTCAGTTTATTCAGTTGAAATGTGTGAAACGGACGTAATATTATGACAATAAAATTTAATATTTTTATTTTCTAAAATGTGCTTCAATGTGACTGTTAAATTTTCATTCCTCGATGTCTCCGTTACGGCGTACGCCAAATATTAAACTTAAAAAAACTGTGTCAGGTCAATTACATAATAATACTTGTGCAATAAAATTATATATTTAGTAACATTAATCTGTATGAATATATTTTAAAGAATTTTTTTTCTTCCTCTTTTTCGTTTTTTATTTAAACTCACCTTTTGTTTTTATATTTTTTGATTTAGAAATAAATATTCACACAGCTGTTTTTTCGAGATGCGGCTTTTCTGCCAATATCCAAAGGGGAACATTTTTATTACTTGTTGCACTTGTAACGTTTACGTTCAAAACTAAAGAAAGTATTTAAATCAATACGAAAGCGTAAGAATAGTTGGTAATACTCAAATTAGTTGATAGTGATGGATTTTTGGCACGTTTACCAAATAATTTTAGTGTTATACATATTAACTATTTTCTACGATCTCATGGGTCTTACTGTAAAAAAAAAGAACCCAAGTAAATAGTAAAATAATAGATAATGTAAATGATTTAGAGCTTTTAGCTTTTGAGCTTCCGTAAATGTATTAAGGAGGCAAAGGTAATCAATCCCAGACCGGATACTGATAAAACTATACGATAATCCAAAAATAAACCAAGCGATAAGTCTGCTACTTTGTCCATTCCGAGTCACAAAAAAAATGGGTCGGTGGTATCACACAAATACACACGGGCACATAAAAGCTCGCTGTGTGCATGAATTGTTAGATGTTTTTATATATACGTACAATATCGGTGAGTAATTCGTGAAAATTTATTATCAGGTTCAACGAGTACCTGTGCTGTTGCTTGCCAAGCGTGCGGCAAGCAACGACCACCCGAGGAAGGTTCCCGAGGACGAGAGGCGAGGCGAGTACGTTCTACGAGACGAGCTTCAACTCGACCTTCCGGAGGCACACCCAAGAGCTCAACTCGACGATTCTTCTGAGCTATCCGAGCGAGGCGGGCAAGCCTACCTGAGTTAGCCGAGAGCTCCACTGATGCCTCGAGTGAGACCTACCGGTATGCCAATGCCATGAGTTTGGCTCGACTGCTGTTGCTGCTGCTGCATGGTGATCCCTGAGGATGGGCCCTCACGTCTGACTTTGCGACTTTATTGTCGTTACTTCGGTGTTTGTGTTGTTGGATTGATTAGTGATGAACTATGATACGGTAATTGGTTGGCCGAGCGATAATTGTTGAGCTCCAGTATACTATTTTGGCTTTTGTCATTATAGCTGATTAGTTGTTTTTTTTTTTTTTTTTATCGCCAAGAGTCGTTGTGATAAACAAAAGAATATTAACTACGTTTCCGTAAGTTTATCAATAACAAGTAAATTACTTTCTCCACACCACAGTGGTTCTGATTAAAGGAGAGACATTTTGATAAATTACTCCTGAACGAAGATCAGGATCATTACAATCTGTAAAGGAAGAATACATCATTTATGGAATACAACAAATAGTAGCACTATTTCTGGCTTTCAAACAAAAAGAAGCACCATTAAATTCTCGTGGTTGAAAAGTAGTATGATTCACCGTACTTTTACTTTTAAAAATAACCATTACGAAATAAAAAAACGCCACTTTGACATAACTCATTACTTTCTCCACCCCAGGCCTTGCTTAGAGAATAGTAAGCTGATCTGTTAGGGAAGCATGACGAGCAAGATTTGTAATGTTAAGGTGGCGTAGGCGGTTGCTACAATAATTATAGTTATTTTGATAAAACCAAAGTACACGATCAAGAAATTGCCAGAAAACTAATGTGAAATTATAACTGTAAAAATTGGAAAATATTGCGAGGCAAGCCAGATTAGTATTTTATAATTTTCTTCTGATTTTCTCTTAAGTTAAGTCATTGACCCTATATTTTTATGAATTTAATAGATTCATTGTAAAAAAATACACAAAAACTATTTTAAATTTTTTAGGTTAATCAAAGATTTTCGCAAATATAGTCGATTTTTTTACCACTGTCCATAAGAGTAGGTGTTAAACTGGTGAATTTTCAGTAGCGATTTGCAAAAAAATTAAGTCGTTGACCCCGGTATTTTCTTATCGCAAATGAATTTGACACACTTTATTTACATGATTCAAGGATTTCAGAGGTTTTGGTCAAGCCGATAAAAATCGCCCAAGCCACCTGAAGTGATTTCATATGTGACTAAAGCAACTTCCATATTTGAATTTTCCGCGAATTTCCCGGTCATATTTGAGAGCACTGCGAACTTCAGATTTTGCTCGTTGTACTGCCTCCTGGCAATTGAGTTTGCACATTCATCATTTTTATTCAACAAGTCGTGGTTATTAATATCAGAGTCCCCTAGATCCTTGAAGTTTTTGCTCACAACCCTATTTTTAATAGATTCGCGTTAAGAACGTCATTTATACAATAAGCTTGATAGAAAATTAAATTTTTCTGATGGATTGCAAAATTTATTCAAAATCTTGATGTGATCTTATTATTTTCACTGTAGCTGGTGTCTTGAAAATTCAGATATCTTTATTGTATGTAAATCAAAGACTTTTTCAATAAGCCTTCATGGTTGAGTTAATAATTTATACAACTAAAATTTTTTTTTTTTTCTTATTGTATTGAAGTCCAATATCTTTATACATATTGTAAAATAAAATAAAATAAAATATTGTCTAGTCAAAGTATTTAACACGTATTATAACCGTTGTGAGTAATGTTATTTTTATTGTTAGTTAGTTGTTTTATTCTATACATGAACACAAATACTGATGTACCAGAATATGTTCCATTTTTACTATAATTCTATATATTTTTGAGAAAACTATTATTTTTTTAATAAAATAGTATAAAAATAAAATAAGATCCTACAAACAAAAAAATTAAGATAAGAATTTTTAACTATAGTGTACATAATACAGGAATATTATCTTTTGTGATGGTAAATTGAATCAAAGGCTATGGGGAACGAATTGTGTGCTACTCTTTTTTCGGGAACAATGATATTGCTATTGTTAGCTAGTAAATTATGGATTGGGGGTTTTTTTTTGTCAAGGGGCTAAAAATGATACCATTTTTCTTTGAAATCCGTAGATAGTGCTACTTACTCTTTGTTCAAATCTACATGGTGCCAGAAGCTTTATCCGAGGTAGTGATACGATTGCTAGTGACTTTTCTCCCAAGGAGCTACTCAATTCTGAGGTCTGAAAATGTATGCAGCGTTTTCGAAAATATGATAAAAACTTACCTGTATAACTGTGTATACATATAGTAGTGTCGTCAAGTATATGTAGACCAATTCAGTACAATTAGGATAGCCTAAATACAGAATGAGCTACGCAGTTTTAAGAAATGAAAATTTATTTTTTCATAGTAAGTTGAAATCAAAATTACGAAGCTGCTGACCATGGATGTGAAAATTAGATAGTACCCGAAAATCATAATAAAATTGTTGCTGAATAGTTTGATTTCATATTAAAAAATGAAAACTATACGTTTTTATTTTCATAAGAAGTTTAATGACCCTACTGTGTTAAAGAGTTTTAATAGTTAGAAGGAGAAAAGAGAATTGCGAGAGCTTCGATAAAATTGTTTTAATTTCACAGAATGTACATACATTTTATGAAACTTGTTATGTTGTAAATGTTTACAAATCTATTAGAATTTATTCAATTTGTATATTGTATATAATCAAGAAACTGTGAAAATCTTGAATTGCTGCAAATATTTACATTTGTATAATCGTATCTACAGCATTCGTTAGGCCACAGCGTAATTTTGTACAAAAAATTCGTAAAATTTCATCACATGTAGTTAAAAAATTTTTGGACTCTTCATATGACATTCAACTTCTCGTACCTGTACATAGTCTGCAAAAGGATTATTTTAGCATGAGGACATGCATTTTGCGCACTAGTGCAAGAAATTAATACTTCTTACACAGCAGTTTCCGCACAAATGTAAAAAAAATGCGAAAATCCCTCCAGCAGTTGTAAACTCATTGATATACATGTAAAATTTGTAGCTAATATTGTCCGATTGAAATATTTTCAATCACTAAGGTTTTTTGAAACTCCGAATATTTAACGATTGGTAACATCATCGAACGGGAATGCAATTATGCTGTGCATAATACTTAAAACTCGATGTATTCAAGTTATATAATTAGTAAACTACTCTCGAATCTTTTCACTAAAACGCATTGAAAGCCTTTACTGAAATGCCAAGGTACATTCAAATGCTCTAAAGTATTATAAAATTATAAAATCATCAACTTGTACAAGCTATTAATACATGTTTAACTTTAATAAAAAATTAACTATCGTTATTTGCAGTGTGTTCTAAATTGTGAAAAAACAAGGTAACTCCTAATAATGGAAACACAGTTTACAACGTAGTTTAACACGTATTTTAATTAAAACAAGAACATTTCATGAACATTTATAAGTTTAATGACTGCTTAGATCCAGCAAAACTAATTAATATAAAACTTCGAAACACAATATTAAAATATGTTAAGTGAAAATAGCAAATAAAATAAAAAAGCGGATGTAAGACTTGCAAGATTGTTTAGTAATGTAATGTCTGACTAAGTACATTTTTTTTTCTCCCCAAAAACAATTTTTTATATACGTATAGCAACATCTTGATGATACAAAGTTTTTATTACTGAACTGACTTATTATTATATTTCACTGAAAAGTGATATCGAGGATATTTTTTATCTTTTATCTTGTACGCTAATGTGAGAAGAAAAAACGTTGTTTTATTATTTACTGTGACAGCTGTTGCAGCTCAAACAGTCTTTCTATACGCTCTTATCGTTATCTACATGATTGCGTTCAGACAGCACTCAAATGTATTCACGTATTTTTTGCTACGCTCGCCCAGGTATACGTATTATAAACTACGCAGTTATTAGTAGGTCACACAATTCACTTAAATTCTTGTTTATAACAATACGTCATTTTTTGCTTGTTGCTTTGGAACGTTGTATCTTTTGTTGGGCTCAAGGGGCACTTGACAATTATATTCTGAATTGCTTGATCATAAGTCAAGTAACAGTTTTTCATTTTTTAAATTTTTGCAAAAGATTGATTGATATTATAAAAGTGATCAGAGATTGTTGTTTTTCGGGTCATGTGCAGCCACAGAATCCTTACATTCATACTTATTGATGAGGCTCTTGATACGATTATCCCTTGAACGAGGTTTTGTGATTGGATGATCTACATTGGGCTCAGAATTTTTTTTTCGGTGTTCCTGTTTATCTGCCCGTCTATCTGCTGTTTCCTTCAAAATGCTACTCCTTTTAATGGAGTTCTGGATGCACTCTTCAATAGTACTCATCAAGGAGTTATAATAAGGCTCTTTATTTACATCACCATATTTCTGATCCTCGATTTGGTTAAACTCTGATTCTTTGGCTTGCTCGTTCGATGCCATCGGTAAGCAGTTGTTTTATTTTAAGAGATGATTAATGAAATACAACAATGGAATATTTCCAGTTAAATTTTAAACTATGAGTCTTACAGTATTGTTCGGTGCAGGGAACTGAAAAAAAAATTCATACGATGTCTTTTGGAAAGAAACGGGCAAAGTAGGTATCAAGTGAGGAGTGGGGAGCCAAGAAGAGAGGGGGAAAAAGAAATAAAGACAACATTTCTATTTGCCAACAGCTATAAAATATGAATGGCCGTGTGTGTATGTGTACATTCGACCTCATTTTCGATTGTAAGCTTTTTTTTAAAATCAAGCTCTTTGATTTAACAAAGTTCATTCTTTTTTTTCTGAAAAATAAATTAAAAATGTAGTTCGTCCATAACATACCTATGTCAGATAAGCTGTAGAAAGAGGAATTGGTATTTCATGGGCAATAGGACCATATCTCGGTCTTTATTATTTTTAATTATGAACATAGTGGTGGGCTTTATTCTGCTCCAAGCTACCAGAATAGGTGAATAAGTAATTTACACACACCTATCTAGAAATAATTAAATTTCGT